GCTACTTATGCTGTCAGCCTAGAAAATCAGACAAGAAACTACCCTAATTCTGCTTAGAGATTTACATCAAATGCTAAATCAAGAAGGGATTCGACTCAGAAGAATTTTCAGGAGGGATTTACTTTTAGAAGTGGTAAGTAGAGGATAACAGAAACTAATACTGACTGATAAGAAGCGACTAAGGTAGAATATTCAACCAAGAGTCTTTTTGTTAATCATCAATAACTTGAAGAACATGTTTCCATTGATGTTAATGCATAGGTTTGATGGAGTGTTTTGTCACTTGGGTGTTATGTTATCTTTCATGTTAGTAGTCCAGCGTTGAATATTTTATGTACTTTAATTTTAGAAGATAAGTGTTATGTTAGTTAAGCTGCATTGTTTTAGATATCATGTTATTTTAGTTATGTTTTTTATGTTTTAAATGTATTAAAATTATTCAGTTGAATTATCTTACCTCAAATATTGGATTTAGTAGATTTATTTTTGTTATCATTTCATAAGAATTATGCATTCTTGAAGATTTTTGGATAGATCATATCTAATCTACATAATATTTGACTTGTGTGAAGTCTATGAATTTCTAGGAAAAGAATTTATAAGGTGGGAGAGATTATAATAATTTAAATTTAATAATAAGAATACTGGAAAATGTTAAGAATCAATTAGAAGGAAGTCTTTAGTTATGACTTACAAGTCGTATACCCCCGTTCAAACCAAGCGTCATAGAAAAAGACAGGAAAAAGAAGTGAGGGTGAGAGATAAAGTAAGGAGAAGGAAATTGCTTTCAATTAGGGCAAGCGTTCGTGGGTAAAAGCGTTGCCTCCAAGGAGTTTCAACATATGAAGGAAGGAGAAGAGGTGTGGGATTATCTACTTGCAGTGTCGACACTACTATAATTGTGACGACACTAGATATGAGCAGATTCTATGTGCTTCTAGGGAAAAGAAGTAGACATCTCATGAGAAGGAAGAACCGAAAGGACTTATGTGTTGTTGTAGTGCTAGAGAAGGAAGCCTTTTACATAGCTGATCAAAGAACAAGCAAAGGGTTTATCGTGTGAAAGAGATGACCTCGTGCTCTAACTATTTGACAGAGAGGAAGGAAGTGAAGCTTTCATGCAAGAGGAAAGGGAAGCCTTTGACGAGTCGCGATTGAAGTTACAGAGGAGGAAGAAGAAGGGAGAGGAAGACAAGCCTCTGTAGAGTTTGCATGCAGTTTAGGGCAGTCGAGCGAATGATAAGGTAAGATATGGGTTTATAATATAATTCAATTAATAAAATTAATGCATTATGTTTTATTTATTTTAATTAATGAATTTAATGTATTATGTTTTTTTTATTGTAATTAATTAATTTAATATATATTTTTGTGTATCACATATTAATAGTATGTTAATTAAATAAAAAATTAGAGGCAGAAATATTGAGACCGAATCAAGTCGAATTGTCAGAGAAAAGAGGAGCCTTGTCTCCAAGGAAACAAACCAAGCCTTATAAGGAAGTTCCTGAAGAAAGAAGATATAGTTCCAAAATTAATGAGTGGATCTTCTTAGAGGATAAGGTATAAGAAAATTAGAATTTAAGTATGATCTATTTAATTTAGATTTAATATTATTAAAATATTAATTTATAAAAAGTAATTAAGATTGAAGAATATTGGAACCAATGAGGTCTGAAGATGGAGAATCAGTGCGAAGAGCAAACTAAGTTGAGGCGAGTAATTATATTTCCAAAATTTAGTAAATTTTTATTTCAAAATATATGTTTAATTTCATGTATGCTTTAGTTCAATTAAAATCAAATTACAATAGATTCTTTATATTGTTAGATATGAAAAATATGCAAAATTTGCATGATAGAAAAAATAAGAATGTTGAATAATTGCACATTTGAGTAAGTTTGCATATTAAATATAGTTGCACATCAATAAAGTTTAGGAAGATATTAAGTTATTGCATGACCTATGTTATAGTAGAGATATACATGTTATATATATATATATGCTACATTATATATGCTACATTATTTCTCAATCTTTATAAATTTAGTAAATGTGCTTATATCAACTTTTTTATTGACTTATACATATAATGATATTACATTTATTCATGAATAGATAGAGTTAAAGTTTTTCATAAGAAAATAATACATGATATGAATAATGAAATAGCTTGTTGCAAATGTCTGTATGTGCATATTAGGGGAGTTCATCTCTTAATGGTACAGGCAGATGACACAAGTGTACCCACAAACATAATTATTTTTCTACCACCTCAGACAATTGTGACGTGATCACTTTACCACTAGGTTGAAGGAAGAATATCGGTCAGTAGTAAGTAGAAAAGAAATTAACACTTTAGACAATTGCAATGTTTAGATTACTAACTACTTTGCCGACGAGCTAATAACGATCAAGGGCAGTTAAGAGCCTTTCCACCTCAGACAATTATAATGTATAAATCACTAATCGTTGTGTCAGCATGATAATATTGGTCAGGGGCGTGTTAGATTATTTTTTGTTGGTGCTCTTGAGATGAATATGAATGTTAATAATATCAAATAAAAGTAAAGTTAAATTTATGGCAGTTTAGAAGTTCAAATTATTTTCATTGAAAAAATGTCATAAATGCATTAAATTATTATATGATTTTTTACAATGAAATATGAAATATTAACATATATATTGTCTCTCTTCCTTGGGTCATTGTATTTAGAAGCATGATTTCACGACTTATCTTTAGTTAATTCATTATGTTGTTTTAAATATAATTTTTCAGGTTTAAAATTTTGATTAAGATGAATACTAGAGGAGATAATTTTTTATAGAAGACGTGAGCGACAACCTGAAAGGTAACTTTTAATTTGTTAATTTAATTGAATTTTTAGTGATTCTTTAATAATTGTTAGTTATATAAATAGAATAATAAAAAAATAAATTTTCATCATTCGACCGTCCATTCCCATTTGGGTTATTACTAGCCAGAGGTCGGGTCATGACAAATTCCTACTCATTTTTATCAAGATATAGAATAAGGGAGATGAGATGGGATGTCAATTTGAATATTAACTCTAGTAAAAGATAGGCGTGCACCTTTAGCCGTTAAAGAATAAAAAACTAAAGGAAATCTAATTTTATTAGCAATTATAGAAATATCAACTTCATTCCTACAACACAAAGGTAAGTTAGGGGATTTCACCCAAATTGAAACAACTTTAAACCCTTCTTTAGCTGGTCGATAATTAGGGGAGCATCTTTTAATGATAAATGATTTTCCATATATGAACCAAGGTCACCCAATAAAACCATTTCCAAATTCTCTTCTCAGTTAAATTTAAACAATAAGAAACATTTTGTAAGAGATAAACAATCAACCAGACCTTTTAATTTCCACATTCTATTAATCATTTGCTGTAAATTACCATATATTGGCTTCTTCACAAATGCATATCCAACCAATGCCAAATTCTATTGTTTTGATCCTTCTTGAACTTTAAGTTTAGAGAAAGAAACCTTATCTTGTGAACAAGGAACATAAGACAAATTGAAATTAGAAGAGCAGTTAAAATGTGAAGAAACTAAACACTTCTAGTTAAGTGAAACCAAGATCCTGCCAAGAGGAAGTGGAACTAAGCGGAGGAAAAACATAATGCATCTTAATAAAGGAGGAAAGAAGCCCCAAAATCTTTAAAAATAAAAAAATAAAAAGAAGAAAGGTTTTTCCATGAGAAAAGGAAAACAAAAAGAAACGCTGAAACTCTAAAGAAAAATTAAAACTTCTCTCTAAATCTTGCTATCACGTCCTCTGCAAGAAATGATCCTCTAAGAGAGAGGTTTTCCCAAGAGAAAGAGAGAATAAGGAAGAACGCCTGAAACCGCAGAGGGAACACAAATCACCAGAGCTACAACTGGTGATCTTTCACGGAGAACCCTAGTGGCGCTCTAAAAATCGTCATGGACTCACTTTTGGCATCCTAATGACGCTTATCACACCACTTTCTTCTAAATGATAAAAATATTTTTAAAAAAAAAAATAAAAAAAAAAATGATCCTAAACAAGCCCTTAGTTTCTCAATCAATTTTATCAATAACTAGTTTAAATTCAATATTCCTTAAACATTAATATTGAAGCATAAATTTGAAGTAAGGAAATTTAATTTCAAAATCTTCAAATAACTTACCAAATTTTTTGTCTGCTAAACTAGTTGACTATTAATTTTTTTTCTTTTTTCCTTCTACATGCATTTAACTTAGAAAGTTATGATATTTCAATATAATTTTTTTTGACAAAATTATGAGTTTTTTGTGTACAATATGTGGTGGACTAATCATGATTTGACAAAATTGTAAAATTTATCAACGACATTGATGATGCACATTATATTTATTTATTTGGAGGAAGTGATGGAAATCGAGCTCAACTCATTAATTAGCTCACATGCCGAGCTTATCGAGCCATGAACTAGAGCTCAAGCTCAAACAGGAGCTATTTTATTAAACAAGCTCTAGCTCGAGCTCATCCCAACTCGGATCGTAAGCTATTGTGCCGACTTGATTAGCCTATCACTAATCATTTCAATGCATTTTTCGGCAAGTTGCCATTGCATTCTCCTCCTCCAACCACCAATATCTTCTTCGATGGGTTCTAGTAAAAATATGAATTTTATTTCGAGCTTGTGATCTTGCTCGTGAGCCGACTAATACTACTACGAGCCGAGCTCGAGCTCGTCGTTCAAGCTCTACTCGAACTCGTGCTCACATTTTGACATACGAGCCGAGCTCGAATATGGCATGGCTCGAGCCATACTCTACTCTCTCACACCCCTAGATGGAAGTGATCGATAATAAAACAAGCCTGAGTTGTTTTATGAAAATTAATAATTCTAAGTGTGAAAGGATTACAATAAAGAATTTGGTGACTTTTAGAAGTGAGATCCGACTAACAACCATTAAAAAAACAGAAAAAATCTAAAGCAGCATTAACAACTCGAATATAAAAACCGGAGTGGTGGTTGATATTCTCCTGCTGGCCGCCTCACCAACCGTAAGAATGATTTCTCCGATCCTCTGAAGATTGAAAGCAAATACATCCGATCGGTGTAAAAATCCAATTTTGAAGTCATTCGCACAGGAGCCATCCCACGAACCAAGCACTATGTCCCCTCTCGCATTAAAGAAAGAATTTGGAAGGAAAGAGAAGCGAAAAGAAAGCTTGCTCTTCCTCCCCGTCTCCCACGGCCCCTCATCTCTCCTTCCTCCGATTTCTTTAATCGCGTATTTGATACTGGAAAGCTCTATGTGGTCCCTTTTGCCCTTTTCTCTTTTTGCTATGCAGTGTGGGAAAGAATTAGGAAGACGAAGGGTCCAGAGGTTCTTTGAAAATGGAGAAGGAATTGGATTACTACGAGGTCCTTGGAGTCGGCCTTTCTGCGAGCGAGGAGGAGATTCGTAAGGCTTATTATCTTAAGGTGTGATTTTTTGGGACATGAAGCCGATCTCTAGTTTCATCCCCCTTATTTTCTTTTGGCCTGCGCAATGTTCTATGTTTTTAGGGTTTGGATGAAGCTAATTGAACTGAGTTGTTGTTAAATTTCTGTCCTTCTGCCTATGTTATGACTTATAGTAAGATGTTATCTCTATCAAGCTCGGTTTATTGTGTTTTCCAGGGAAATTGGATTAATTGAACTACTTAAACTTGCCAGGAAATAGATATGCATTTGCCAAAAATATTGCATTAAAATACAAGTTTATGTAACTTTGCTGAATGCACCGAGAACATCTAATGGTGTCTTAACGTTTGTTAGGTTATTCCAACTGAATTGTAGATTAATTCAGATGATTTCTTATCTCTTCTATCTGAGAATCTTGAAATTGGAATACATTATGCCCCTAATTTTTGTTCTATATTATATACTGGGGGGAGAAAAAGGATTCATGTGGCCGACCCTACGTAGTGGGATTAATGCTTTGTTGTTGTTGTTGTTGTTGTATTATATACTTGGGGGAGACTTGAGTTTGAATGAACTTATAAGATCTGAAATTGGTTGCTGCTTTTTGGCTCAACTGGTACTTCCTAGAGAATTCTTTTAGAATGGTTTATCAATAATTCTATTTATTTAAAAAAATGTGAATTAAGGTGACAAAAAAGCTTTTAGAAATAGAAACTAAAACATTGCATTTCCTTGCAGGCTAGATTAGTTCATCCTGATAAAAACCCAAATGATCCACAAGCTGCTGAGAGATTTCAGGTAGGATAATCACGTGTTCTTTGCAAATTCGTTATTGCTTTCAGCTTCGATAGAAATGATTCTGTTCATTTTTTGAAATTAATGTTTAAGAAATACAAATATCCTGAGCTTGCAGGTGCTCGGGGAAGCTTATCAGGTCTTATGTGATCCAGTACAGAGAAGGGCTTATGATGGCCATGGAAAAACTTCTATTTCTATGTATGTTTTTACTTAGTAAGGTCAATTATGTAAATGATTTAATACATACTGAAGACAGCTAATTTTTCAATATTAATTAGTCTTTATATGGAAATGAAATGTCACAAGGCCTTTAGCTCTTTTTGATAGTCTGCACAGTTGAGGATTACTGGCACTGATTTTTGTTAGGTATACAGTTGAAGATCTTATGGGACATGACTGAGCTATTGTAATAAGCCCAATAAATTATATGAATATATTGTTCTACTTTGTGAGATTTCCGTGTACTTTAATAAAGGTTTTTATCCAACTCAAATCCTCATGAAACTTTCTTGAAACAAAATTAAATTAGTTTCTAAAGTATTAATATTATAATTATTTTTTTATTAATCAATGTATAATTAATGCATTGCATGGGTTGCACATGATTTCACAAAAATATTGATATGGGTTATGTATTTTTTTTGAAGTTGGTCCCAAGTACTTAAGAGCAGAAACCAGGAGATTTGAGGCCAATGGCAAAGCTCCTACAACAAACTTTCTAGGAGGTGCCTCCACTATTAGGATTTATACTCAGAAAGAGTTTATTGCAAATTAAACAAAATGCCAAGATGAGAGAAGGGAAATGGATGGCCTCACCAAACAACCAAAACTATATCTGTGTTAAATTGTTGAAGACTCGTCTTGTGGCCCACTAATTGATTTGTGACACTAAATAAAGAGGGATATGAAAGGCGAGCCGAGTCACCTGATTTTGGTGACTTGTGGAGTAGACTTAAGCAAGCGGGGCAACATTAATGTTTTATACTAAAGTGAACTTTAGGGCCTTTAACTAATCTCATCTGCTTGATAGTAGAATGGTTTGTTCGACTTTTCAAATGAACCCATAACAATTCTATATTATAAGTGATTTGGTTTGGCTTCACAAATCCATGAAACAAACAAGTTAATTGAACTTGAAATACGATTTCCTGGTTTGTAATCAACTTGTTAGGATCAGAGAAAATGAACCATCATATTTTAGAAAATGAAAAGCAGTCTTATATATTTTTTCTTTCACTTGTTTTTCTTAGTTAATATTCATCATTTCATTCATTGAATTTTATTTCCAACTTTTCTCTCATTCTATTTTCTTGATTATTTAGTTTTAAAGTTGCTCATATGCAAGTTTTGCTGGAATTTTCAGGGAACGCATGTTGGACTCTACTTCTGTTTTTACCCTTCTTTTTGGAAGTGAAGCTTTTGAGGATTATATTGGGCTTCTTGCTGTGGCATCAATGGCTTCCATAGAGCTTAATAATGAACATGACCATGGCGAGAAACTTCAAGAAAGGTTGAAGGTAAGCACACATTGCTAAATGACAGCTCTAATGCAATCATTTAGTATAGACATCAAACTTTTTAACTAAATCACCCAGTTTCTTTGTGGCATTACATTCATACCACCCAAAGTATTTACATAAATATCTAAACATTACTTTTTACATTTTACCACCTAAATCTTTCATATCGCATAAACAATACTATTATTTTAGCTTTCTTAAAATGAAGTACACCTTTCCATGCATAGTTAATGTGGTATGCATGTATAAATTGAAGTTTAGGTGTTACATATGTAAATACATTAGAAAGAATTTGAGTGGTATGTATGTAAATCTTCCTTTCTTTATTTCTCCTTTTTCATTTTTCTTCCTTTTATGACGACTTTAGCCATAAGTTTACAAACTACCAGCACTTCAGTTCTAAGGGAATATTTATTTTATTGATTTATAGTTTCACAAAGTTTTTTTGTTTCTCATTTAAGTGCTCTAATGTTATGAAATTACCAAGCATGGCCAAGCGCAAGAGTTGTTTCATTGCTCCAAATTTATATGCAAAATGAAATGCCTTCAGTGATTTCTAGAATTTTAATACTATGCAGGGTATGGTTCTAACATCTGTTTCATTCAACAATAAATAACAACAACAACAAGCCTTTATCTCCCTAAGTGGGGTCGGCTACGTTAATTCTTTTTCTCCATTGCATCATATTAAGTCTTATATTTTCATTTAATTCTAATAAATTAAAATAATTTTTTATACAATATGCCCAAGTCTTTCTGGTCTACCTTTATCTTTTTTAACATAAATCGAGTACTACCTAATCGGATCATTAGATGGTCGACGTTTAATATGACCAAACAATCTAAGACAATAATCTCTAATTTTGTTTGCCGCGGGAGCTACACCAACTCTATCATGGATATATTCATTTGATCCGCATTTTATCTCTAAGCGTCAAGCCACTCATCCACCTAAGCATTCTTATCTTGACAACACTTAACTTTGTTTTATGCTTCTCTTTTAAAGGCCAACATGCTGCACCATAGAGCATTGCGGGTCTCACCACCATCTTATAAACTTTTCCTTTCAGTCTAAACAATATTTTTTTATCATCCCTATCACACAAAAGAGACACAAAAGAGCCGAAGCATTCCTCCACTTTAACCAACCAACTTGAATTCTACTAATAGCATCCCCATCTATATCACCATCACTTTGAACAATGGACCCGGGATATTTAAAGCGTTCACATCTTATAATGATTTGATCACCCATAGTTACAACTTTGCCACTTGAAGTATTACTACTAAAATTACATTTCATGTGTTCAATTTTAGTTCTACTCAAACAAAGGTGTTTAGACTCCAATGTAGACCTCTATAATTTAAGTTTTTCCTGAACTCTTTCTTTAATCTTATCCACAACAAGGCTGTTATTAGCGAAAAAACATGCACCAAGGTACATCCTTTTGTAAATGTATAGTAAGAGCTTCCATAACTAAAGCAAAAAGATATGGATTTAAAGCTGATCCCTGATGTAAACCAACTGAAATAGGAAACTATTAGGTCAATCCTCTTGTTCGAACACAAGTAACAACTCTATTATACATATCTTTAATGACTTGAATATAAGTCATATCAACACCTTTCCTCTCTAGAACTCTCCAAAGTTTTAGTGGAGGAATCTTTGTAACACGTTTTAACCTATATTCAATTACCCCTCTCCCATAATTTTACTCCTCAGACGTGTTTTTAGCTTTTAAAATATTATTAAAGAGTTTAGTAAGCCAAGAAACTCCCAAAACTCCTAAATATTCTTCAATTGAGATATCATCAGGTCCTATTGGTTTTCCACCTTTGGTTTTCCTTAAAGCCTCTTCAACTTCTTTTTTACTAATGTGACAGTCAAAATAAAATATTTTATTATTATTTATGATATTAAAACCACTAAGGTCGATCTTCTTTTCGAAATTTTTTTTGAAAAAGTTATCAAAATAGCTTATCCCTATGTTGAATATCCTTTTTTAACAAAAATAATTTTTGATTTTCATCTTTAATATATTTTACTGGAGTTAAATCTCTACTCTTCTTTTCTCTTTCTTTAGCTAGTTTGCACATATATTTTTCACTATTTTTAGTATCTAATCTATTATAAAGATCACTAAAAATAGAATTTTTAGCGTTATAAGTTATTTTCTTTGACTCTTCTCGGGCCATCTTATAATTTTCCAAGTTCTATAAGCTTTTACATTTAAATCAATTTTGTTGATAAGTTCTTATATTTTATTTTTTCTTACACATTATTATTCCACCACCAACTATTTTTATTTATATAAACATTTCTTTTTGATTCTCCTAGTACATCTTTTGCCACATATTTATTAGATTTGTTACTTTATCCTACATAGAACTTATTTTTTCACGAACATCCCAAATCTTGAAATATTTAAGTTTACTCATAAAAATAATTTTATTTGTATTTTTTATGTGTCTCCTTATAATTCTATGATAATGATCTCTAGTATTCTTTATCTTACAATTCTTCATTTTAAAATCTAGAACTAATAATCGATGTTGAATACTTAAATTCTCACTTGGAATGACCTTACAATCTTTACTTACAATCTTTACAATCTTTACATTCTCAACGATCTCTTCTTCCCATAAGAAAATAATCAATTTGTATTTTATTAGATCCAAAATTATAAGTAATAATTTGCTCTTCTCTTTTTTTAAATAAAGTATTAACAATAATAAAATCATACGATAAAACAAAATTTAATATGACTCTACCTTCTTTATTAATCACTTCAAAACCATATCCGCCATGAATATTTCTAAAATCTTATACCACACGACCAATATGTTCATTTAAATCTCCTCAAATTTAAATTCTTTTTTAAGTATCATTTGTATTAACTTTTCTAGGTCATTCCAAAATTTTTCTTTAGAATCTATATCTAAACACACTTAAAGAGTATAAACACTTATAATATTAAAAATCTTAGTATCAACACCAATCTTAAGGGTTATAATTCTATTTCCTATTCTATTAATTTTTATAATATTATCTTTCAAACTTTTATCTATAATTACAACTGCACCATTTCTAGCACGACTCCTATCTAAATACTAAAGTTTAAAACATAAGCTATCAATCTCTTTGGTCTTTTCTTCAATTCATATATTTATTTTTCTGTGAACTATAATATCAACTAATTTAATTAATTTACCTGAGAGAGTACATATATTTCAAGATTCTATCCTAATTGATTTCATCGATTAACTATTTTACTCGCATCAATCTATAATATAAGAACTCTTGCTTATTTGACACTATACTCGGGCGCAAGTGTAGCGGCCCTTGCACGCTTTTCACTTATATTCAGACCATAAAGTGCGTTGCTTCCAGAGGAGGCCCTAGACAAAGATCTAAAGGTTTCATGCATGGTTTTTTGAGAAATTTTATGTTGGCTATTAAATACCAATTCAGCCCTTTTCTTTTCACATCCTGGGATTGGGACTCGACAATGACAATGTTAAATTTGCAATGTGCAACATAAGCAATAAAAGCCTGAAAATATCACAAGAATGTCATGGAAAAATTAGTTGTAATGTGCAACATGAGCAGTGCAGCTTAATAATGTCATGACTCGGCTCGAGACCTTGGAATTAATAAGGTAGGAATTATCGGTCGGATGGAGGAAAATTATCTAACTTCATTTTGTAAATAAAATGATCCAAAACACAAAAGAAAAATTCTATTTCATAAATTTTTTTACAACAGTTTGTACATGTATTAAATTTTTATGATTGATAAGAAATAAAAATTAAAGCGTAATACCCATCAGTCTGAGCTTCTCGACATTTATATATATACTCTCTAGGATCCATCTATCATATAGTTTGTTTGCTGCAGAATGTTAGCAATTAAAGGTGTTTGTGAAACAATAAACAAATATTTCTAAATTACAATAATTCTCATTTTAAAATTTTTTTGTAAAAATGTTGTAAGCAGTAAAAAGACTTTGACCTTAAAAAGGAAACATTTTTTTTTTACTTTTATTTATTTTTGTTACATTTTTTGTGCACAGATACATCACTTTGACAACCAGTACTGTCTTGGGGTAACTTCATATGCATGCATATATCATATTTTATTTTTTTTTCTTATATTTAACATTTAAGAAATATAAACTTTTACATTTTAAAAGAAATACTGGAAATAGTAAAAACATAGGTAATTACTTTCATAAATAAATAGAACTATTATAATGTAAAAACATATTTACCCAGTTATACGGTCTGTAGTTGATTGCCTTTTCCTTGGAAGTATCTGGACCTTAGGGAATCTATAATAACAATTTAAGCTTAATTAGCTTTTGTTCATTTTAAATATTTCTTTCATATTAATTTCTTACTTAACTATTATTATCTATATACATTCAAGAAAAAAAAATGTTGATGTGATATTTATTAAAGATTTCAAATAGAATGCTAAAATTAATGTGGTTCAGTGAGATTCACCTACATTCACGATCACACAAAGACTTCATATTTCACTGAACTTCAAAAGAGATGTAGAGAGAGTATATATTTCATATAAATTAATATAGAAGGTAAGCCTGTGTTAATGGATGAAATGAAACGTAATCAGCATTTTCTCATTCAGTTATTTTATTATGATTATGAAGTGCATTACAAGTTAGGATTACATAGGTTTATATGATGAATAGTTCACCTCCTAATATTATTGATACAGTTGAAGACTATTGTTAAATTCATTGTAGACTTTTATTCTAATCTTAAAACTTCGTGGTAGTCTTCATTTATAACTTTGTAGTAGCCATCATTTAGGACTTTAATGTTGCTAAAGGGAGCCACCATTTTAAATAATTAAAACTTTTGACTTCGCACTTAACAATTGGTATAGTAAAACTAATGCAATGAATTTTTGTATGTAATTTAAAATACATCTAAAGACTCATTTTTGATGAATTGGGAATTCAGTTGAATAGGTTGAATTCCAAATTTAGTGTTCACGATCTTATCCTACACAAAGCCATCCCCCATCCAATGCGCTTGCCAACCACAAAACCCATCTTTGTTATCCTTTATGTCCTTCATCTATGCTGTTCCCACATCTACCTTCATTGCCATCTCCATGTTCGCTTTCAGTATTGTTCTTTCGCCCGCTGTCTGAAAATAAATTAACCCTTAACGACGTGACATCCTACTGTTCTCATGCTGCTGCTGTCCTTGTTGACCCTGTTCGTGCATTCACCATCCCCGCCACCCTTATTATATAAACATGAATAAACATGTAAAAATACATACATAATACATACATATGTGATTTAAAATTTATTTTAGAGTCATTAAACACAAAAGATTGATTTTGTAAATTTATTTTGCAACCAACTAAATAATTTTAAGTATTTCAAACGCACTTTGTTTAATTTACATTGCAATTGAAATACACATATACACTAAATACTTTCAACCAAACAACTCTTTAATCATTTTTAAAAAAGTTTCTTAATCTACTTCGGAGAGTAATTTATTGAACATATGAAACTTGGTTGACTTTTCTTTTTTTAATGAAAGGCTTTGCAGATGGAAAGGGAAGATAATCTTGCTCAATTTCTGAGAAATTTTCTTAATCAATATGCATCTGGTGACAAAGAGGGATTTTCCAAACGCGCAAAAGCTGAAGCAATGCGGCTATCAAGCACAGGTTGATTTTAGATCTCTGTTTACCTTTGCAGTTGCTACTTGATGAATTTTGCTGGTTAGTCATATCATCTAGCTGTTAACATCCTACATTTAACCATGAGAAAAGTGTCAAAATGATCCCCTGATTTTTTATTGGGGGTCATTTCAGTCCTAGAGTCTATAAAAAGTGTCAATTTACTCCCCCTTATAACTTTAATAGGGGCTAAAATAGTTCCCACTTGGGATTATTTTAGCCCATATTGAAGGAGTCTTGGGACTAATTTGACATTTGTATAGACTTTGGAACTAAAATGACCCATGTAAAGAAACAGGGGACTATTTTGACACTTTTACTCATTTAACTATTTATTGCTTTTTCATTCAATCATATCTTGTGCGCTTTTCTATCCAGAGTAACTTGTGGATGGAAAATTGTTAAGCGCTTACAATTTGATTTTTTTCATCAAGATCAAATTCCTGTGGACGCCAGTGATATATTATTTAGGTTTTTCGGACATACCAATCTTCCATTCCGTTTTTGTTAAGTTCTAGTGAATTAATGAAAATGTGTAAATGAATCTACACTATCGCTTATTCTTTCTAATGGCGGGGAAGTTTTTTTCTTAAAGGAAGATTTACATGCATAACACTCAATTGCTATGTATTTACATATCTAACACGTAGACTTCAATTTTTACATATATACTACCTTTCCTATGCATAAAAAAGTTTATTGTACTATTTAAAAGTTAAAAAAATGGTATTTTTGATTGAATATACAATATTAAGGTGGTATGAATGTAAAAGGCAGAGTATAGATGTAGATTTGTAAATAAGTAAAAATTGGGCGGTATGCATGTAAATGCCCCTTTATTTTAAGATGGTGATGATCTTGTTAATGGGTTCCATTCACAGTTGCTCCTTTATTTTAAGATGGTGATGATCTTTTTAATGGGTTTTATTCACAGTTGCTTCACTTGCCGGTCTTTTGGTGACTTATTTCTTTATTTTGTGGGGAAATAAGGTCCAAAGCAGATTGCGAATGAAATTTATGCTTCTTCATCTGCCATAGTTAACCATGAAATAGGCATATATGGTGCAAGGTTGTTTAATTTTTTGAAAAGCAGGAATAAAGCCAATATTTCTTTATGTTCTGAAATTGCGAGCACTTGATGGTCTATATTTTTTGTGTTTATTTATTAGTTGAGTATCCAAAGTATAAAATAGCAAACTTTGCAAATCAATGCAGCTCTTGGTGCTGATATCTTACGCACTATCGGCTACGTGTATTCAAGACAGGCTGCGAAAGAGCTAGGAAAGAAGGTTATCTATCTGGGGGTTCCTTTTTTGGCTGAGTGGGTAAGAACTAAGGGACACACATGGAGATCACAGATCACTGCAGCGAAAGGTCAATGTGCTATTATTATCTGCCTTTATCTGGGGAAGTTATGCTGCTTCAATTTACAAAATGACGCTGGTAGTTTATGAAATATACCAGGTGCTTTGCAATTATTGCAACTGCAACAAGATGTCTGCAGGCAATCTAATGGAGATGGCTGTGCTACAGAAAAAGATGTCGAGCTAAATACGGGGGTGAACAGGGACTTGATGAACACTCTGTGGAAAATAAATGTTGTTGACATTGAATTAACTCTTTCACATGTATGCCAAATGGTATGTCGCAGCATTAGCTAAACTTTGTCATTGATTTTTGCATGCGGGTGCGCGCCCGTGCGCACACACACAGAGAGATATATATATATATATATATATATATATATATATATTACTTAGAACAAATCGAATTACAACAAGGAATAAAAAAAAAACTTGAAAAAAAAACACAAAAACAACAATATCCGGCTAGGTCCGGGAAGGAAGATCCGGGGACGGTGGTGGTGTTCATGCGATGGTTAGGTGCTGAAGTGGAAGGCAGTAAGAAATATTTCGTAGAAGTAGGAGGCTGTAGGGTGACCGGTGGCTAGGAGCAAGGAGAAGGGGGAGTTGGTTACTTGCAGCGGGATCTGGAGGGGTAGGAGAGGGTCGAGCAGGGAGAAGGGGGATTTGGTGATTGGCGGCTGGATTAGGGGGGTAGGAGAGGGTGGCGTGCGACTAGGAGCATGGAAGAGGGGGTGTGGATGGTTGGCGGTTGGATCAGAAGGGGTAGGAGAGGGTGTTGGCCAACGGTTAGGGATAGGGAAGAGGGAAATGTGGAGGGAATCAAGGGGATACTCACTAACTTGGAGCAGGATACAGCCGAAGCACCAACTGTCCTCGGATACAACCCTAACAAGGGAAGAAATCTACAGGTAGTAATTCAAAACAAACGAGTAACAACCCTAACACAACAAACACATAAATTTATAATAGGTATGGAACCCAAGTTTGGCCGACCGGTAGGTCGATCTTATATACATTATCATTCAGTTTTTGAAGTATTATGAAACGTTCATCGGCTTGAGGCTTGAATTTTTTAAATGCTCTCACTGGAAATCTTACTTTCTTGAATTGGATCTACATTAGCTCCTCTTCTTGAAAAGTCACATTCTTTCTAGACTTGTTTGCCTCTGCTTGGTACTTGTGTTTTTGTTTAGCGATTTCCTTCCCAACATCCTCGTGGAGCTTCTGAATTTCGTGCACTCGTTTCTTGGCATCCTCGCTAATCTCTAATATTGGCAAGAGGGGTACTAAATCAAATGAAGTGAGCGGGTTGCGCCCATAAACAATCTCAAATGGGGTGTGTCCCATAATCTGACTCACAAATCTGTTGTAAGAAAACTCAGTCTGTGTTAGAAACAAATCCCATTGTTTAATATTCTTAACAAAGCATCTCAATAAATTTCTAAGGCTCCTGTTCACGACCTCCATGTGATCGTGTGTCTGAGAGCTGAAAACTAAATTTAACATAATGCTTAGTTTTTCCTACAGAGTCTTTCACAAGTGACTCAGAAACTTTGACATCCCTATTTGAAGTGATGGTTTTGTGTATCCCGTGTAATCTCACAATCTCCTTGAAATACGAGTCTGTGACATGAGATGCATCTAGTGTGGGCTGGCACGGTACGAGATGTGTCATCTTCAAGAATCGATCCACCAAAACCATGATTGAATTCTTGTTCCGCTGTGTCCTCGGAAGTCCTAACACAAAGTCCATGTTATTGTCCACCCATGGTGCCACTAGTTCTGGTAGTTTGTCTCCCTTCAAAAGTTTTGTCAAAGGGGTGGTGTTGACACTCAAGCTCCTAATGAATTGCCTGTAAAATGATGCTAGCCCTAGAAACTGCCTTAGCTCGGTGAACAATTGCGGTGCAGTACAGCTCACAATGACCTCTATCTTTTTTAGGATATATCTGAATGTCTGCATTAGACATGATATAACCCAAAAAACATATATGATTTGTCATAAAACGACATTTTTTTGGATGGGCATATAGCTTCTCGGCTCACAACACATTGAATACCGCCCTCAAGTGTTGTAAGTGCTCTTTCTCAGATTGATTGATACCAGCATCATCAAAGTAGATGTTACGACCCTTTCTGATTTAACCTATATACATTAATATATTATATTAAGTCGAGTGCACAACAATTTATTTAGCCTAAAATCTATTTGGAAGGAATTTCTTTTATTTTCTAATTTTCATTACACGGAGCTATTAAGTCACCAATAATAATGTAAAAAAATATAAATATCATTATCATTTCATTTTTCTTATATACATCAAAACTATTTACATCCAAAACATTTATATACATTCATAAAAATTTTCTAATAATCTCAGCAAAACATGCGAATCACCAATTCTCTATCAGTAAGTACTAACAACTCACTCTACTAAATCCTTACATTTTCTAAAAAATATGTAAAAATAATAAGAGAGCAAATAACTCAGTAGGTTACACGAAACCTACAACTGAAATCAATGCATGAAAATAGAACAATATGCATGAGTGCATTATAATTATGTCATGTATGCTAAATAAGTAAGTTTGTAGGTCACCGAACATGTATATAATATGAGATCACAATAGCAGCAATGTGTAAAATGCATATAATCAAACATAATTATTATCACACATATATAAGTTAGGTGATCTGGCTAATCATATGTGGTGTTTTCCCCATACCAATCATAGCTAAATAATTACCGTATCATATCATATCATGTTAGTAAAAAAATGTCAAAACAGTCAGTTAGGTGGTACAATACATGAGAGTCGTCATCCCCAACCTGTCGACACTCATATCTTTATAACTCCTAACATAAATCGGGTTTACACTACTAAACCATTTAAAGGAAAGCCCGTCGACTCACACTCCTGCACAAAGTATCATATCTCCACCAAATCATAGTAGTCAGTTTTTCTTGCATACACAAATTTCACAATATCATATCATTTTAAGAAGTTATAATATGCTTCACATCACAGAGTATATGTTAATCATGCATGTACAACAAAATAGGGAGATCCACAGTATACAATAATATATCAATCTATATGCACTATTGCATATTAAACAAGTATGCTGCTATCTTTGTGTTAGTATGTCATAATATACATAATTTTAATTACACTTTTATAAAATTTCATATAATTTAGATTAGGACTTTTGCCTCAAGCAAAAGAAATAATAAGTGATAATTCAATATGCATGTGCTAAAATGTGCAAAATAACTAGAACAACAACATATCAATGTTACACGGTGAAAGTTTACAAAATACTGAGATATCATCGATTTTACATGTTTTGGATGACAAAAAATTTAGAAAAAATGCAAAATCACTGAAATTAAAGGTAGGGTAACAGTTGTCTACATTGAGTCACTCAATTTTCCCAACTAGCCCGCAACATACTAATGGAGACACACCCCTCAAAATTGGGTTCTCATTCTCTCTCCTTTTTCTTCCTATTTTTCCCTTCTTTCTCATGGTTTGGGAAAGAAATTAATTGGGACTTGTAGATTCTGGAAAAGGTTTAGTGGGGTTTTTATTAAAAAATGAGCCATATATATATATATGCAATTATGAAATTGTTTATATTCATTTGCAAGTTTCATATAAAACTTTTTATATCTTGAAATTTAAAACTTAACAAATTATGAAAATATTGTCATAAGATAGATGTTATCTTGTCTAACGGTTTGAAAACTGAGTGTCAAACGACTTTGGAAAAATTATGTCCGCACATGTACATTTTTTAAGATATTATTGTTTACCATTAATCTTATAATTTTATATTTATAGTTGTCCTAAAAATATGAAAAATCATACTAATTAAATTTCATCATTTCTTATATTTTGGTGAAGACACTTTGTCAATCAGGCTTATAATAGTCATAAAAATTATTCAAAGTTTATAGATCAAATCTTTCTTTTATATATTTTATAATATTTATTTATTATTTTTTAATCAATTATTTTGAAAATGATTTGAAGTCCAAAATAACATAAAAATGTATCTTAATAGACATATTGAAGCATCTATTAAAAAAGTACAAACTCAAATATTTTGGTTGATACCTATATGTAAAAAGTCTGGGGTATTACAACATACAACTATAAATTTTTTAATGTGGTCCCGGAATACCTGATTCATCAACCTCATAAAAGTGCTGGGTGTGTTTCACAATTCGAAGGGCATAATTGTCCACTCCTATAAACCACCTCGTGTCTTGAAAGTGGTCTTTCACTCCTCTCTTGACCTTATTCGGATCTGGTGATACCCACTGTGTATGTCAATCTTGAAAAAATGATGGCTTCGTGCAACTGATTCAAAAGGTCTTCTAAGCTAGATATTGAAAACTAGTACTTGATAGTAATCTTATTGATGACATTGCTGTCAATCCACATCCACCACAAACAGTCCTTCTCGGGTACCATTAGGGCAGGACAACACAAGTACTGGTACTCTCTCCAACCAACCTTCTCACATAGATCCTATATATGTGCTACAGCTCCTTGTACTCTGCAAGTCACAATCTGGAGGCAAGTGTTGATTTGAAAAATACTGATCCTGGTATAAGATCTATGTTGAGCTGAATGTCTTTCAACCGCCGTAATCCATTTAGAAGACTGTTGGTCATCACATCCTAGAAGTCATGTAGCAGTGGAGGCAAGTGTTGATTTGACAAATATTGATCCTGGTATGAGATATATATTGAGCTGAATGTCTTTCAACTACCGTAATCCATTTAGAAGATTGTTGGTCATCACATCCTAGAAGTCATGTCGCAGTGGCTATGGTGGTGTTAGCATCTCACTCTCCTCCTCGATTCCTTTTAGCATGACCAATGCTAATGCCATTGACTCATCCCAAACTGACTGTATGAAGGTGGCCCTTGAGACTAATGCGTCCTCTGTGTCGCCTACACCTCTCGCTTCCTTAACAGTTACTATACAATGCACTTTTCATCATTTTTAAAAGTATTAGTTCTTATCGTGCCAAGTCTTTCGGTCGAACTGCCAAGGTCTCCCCAACAGAATATGACATGTGTCCATCGGGACCATACCGCACTGCACTTGCTCCCGTAACTGATCTCCTTTAAAAATTTCACAAGCAATTGCTGATCCACATGTATCTTATTTTTCTTCTTCAACCAGGTAAGGGAATAAGACTGATGATGTTTTTGCGTGGTCAATCCCAATTTCTTCAGCATCAGCGTGGATACATT